AGATACAATTCAGCGAAATAGTTTTCATCTCGATTCAAATTAACAAACTGTAAATATCAGAGGGAAGTTTTCGTTAATGCAACTAAGGAAAACCATTCTCTTGTCTTGAAATGTCTTTAATTTCACTTTTTACCCTTCATATTACCTAATCTTCTCAAAGTAAACACAAGAAAACTGTTCTTTCAGCAGAACGGTAATTTTTAGTACTTAGTAATTATGAGAAAACGATGTCACATTAATCATTTCTGTCAGGACATCTTTAGAAAAAACATGGACGAAAAGGGATAAGAATAAGTCCAAGCTTGGAGCCAAAAGTCATAGTTGTACAGGTTCTTCGAACTGAAATTTTTGTAGTATCAGCTTTGATGATGATGTAATTCTTTTGATGATTTCAAAGTTTGAGTTGAAACGAGATGAAACTATTATGCTAGACCTCGCGAAGGAACAAAACAATCTTACCTCTGTGATGGGATGGGATACCCTTGTGCTGGACATAGAAGAACAAAACTCGACAATTCTCGATGTTGGAAACTTTTTCCCCTTTCGATTGAGGGAAACTTAGGAGCAGCACTTCCGACAGGCTCTATATGGAAATAACAACTTTTATTTTTTGTTAACTTTTTATAAAGACTGTCTTTTTTTAAATGCTTTTTACCTCTTTTGGATGCATCTGAGTCAATATAAACTATGGATGGTTCAGAAGGTTCAAAATGAAATCCAAGTAATGCAGCGAAGATTAAGAATGAAACTAAGGAATGAATAGTTCGCCGACAATCTTGCATTTTGCCCTTGCAAATTAACGAATATGATGTGAATAACCAATTCTTTCATTAACAAAGCCAGAGACAAATGGAAATAATCAATGATTACGATTCTCAAGTCATACATTCATCCTTCCACCTTAGGAATTTTTTCAAAATCAAGAGCTAAACTGCTAAACACGCAGAGCTCAAGACACGCTCAAGAGCTAAACACCTATTCATTCCACCTACCTGGAAAGAGTCCTCTGTTTTCCGACAAACTAAGACTTCTCTTAAGGAAGATGTGATCGAGATACAGAGGGATCAAAAGGTTGAATGAATAATAAATTAAATGAAAAAAATTGTGGATAAGGAATGAGAGCAGAACGGAAAAAATGAAACATTTGATGGGGGCAGGTAACTGAGAGAGAGTTGAGAAAGATTGTCATTTTAAGATCAAGAATTTCATTGAATTATAAGTTAAGAGAAAGAGCATTTTGAAATTAAAATTCAATTTTTTGATTGACATGTCTACAAATGGCAATTCGAGCTGGTATTTGAACGGCTTTCACTTTTTGAAAAAGACTGACATTTTAAATTAATCACACAAAAAGCTGAATAAGCACTCTAATGATTGTACTTAACTTGTTCATTAAAAATGATTGAAGTGCCATTATTAAAGTTTAAATTTTACTTTATTATATGTCAGTTAATGGTCCAAAATTTCAAAAACTTGTCGGCATTCAGGGGTACCCTATCCCAACATTCAGGCTTCTACAGATACACAATAAAAATTTGAATTGACCTTGAAGTTAAAAAAAATTCAAAATGGAGCATCCATCAATAGAAAAATATAACAAATTCTCGGGTGATACTGTCTTAGGTTGTGAGGCATTTGGAGTAAATTTCATTGATCTAGATGATAAAAGCAAAAATAATTTAGAGTTGTAAAATGTTGTTCCAGGATTTTTGACAATGTTCCCTCAATAATAGTGACTTGAAGGAGCATGCTTCAAGCTTTGGTTTTAAAACGTTATTAATAATAACGGATACACAAGGTGGCAAGGTGACAACGGTGGACACAGTATGACAAGGTGGTTTAAATTATTATTAAACTAGAATTCATAAAAAAAACTCAATGATATATATTTCGCATCTCAAATTCAACATTATGCTATGGTCATTTACTTGGGCTTTTTTAACTTCAAGGTCAAGAGAAAAAACTTAAAAGATAAATAAAATAGTTTGATTAAAAAGTCATAGAAAAAAAGTTGTGATATTTAGGGAGCAATATTTGCATCCTCACTCTTCACACTACAGTCCAGGAAGTATGATGAATTGTCATCATATTTGCAATTGAAGCCAGATTGCTGTTTTGTGTGACTTCTTACATTTAAGAAGACGTAAAGATGTGAATGTCTCTTAAGTTGGGCTTGTCTACAGCCCAGTCTAAAAAATAATGGCTTTTCTTATGACTTTTAAATCAAACGAAACAGGTTTTCAATCAAAGTGTATCTTCACAAGATTTCTTGCAGCAGTTAAATTATATGATTTGGTGCCAGAGGAAGTTATTTTTTGTAGATGAATTGATTTTTCTTATAACTGGTAAGTATGGATTCTGAATCATGCTTAATTCCATTTACTACACTACCCTTAGTTGCTGCAAGGATGCAACGACAATTATCATTGAGTTGTCTCACTTTTCTCTGTGCTTCCTCAGGTGTCAATAGAATTTGAAAAAATCAAAATTGTCGGAATGAGGCGACTGAGAACAATTTTCAGCAAATCGAATACGGCAAATGAAAATTATGGCAAGTCTAAATTATTTTATTATTTGCTGATTTGCCACCAGTTTCGGAGCATTTTCGAATTCTTTATCAAACTTTGTGATGGTAATCCTATCACTGTATTAATTTTCTTGTGTATGATATGTAGCTAAGTAAAATACTATAGAAACATGTAGTACTGGAAACTAAGAAGCTTTAATAGAACCAATGTTGTGAAGACACTCTTTGTTGAAACAATTTCATAAAATAACTACCTTCCATAATTTTTCCTTTGCGATGCCAATGTAAGTAAAGGTTCAGTGATTAGTAATTTAATTACGTCTGACCTGAATAACTAATTTGTAAAGTTGACTTAATAGGAACTTTTAATCAAAAAATTGATAATCAATCATAATAGAATAAAATAAACAACCAGGAAGAGCTCAAGAGCCTTAGGGTAACAAAGGCCTTCCATCATATAACATTTAAAAACTGATAATAGGAGGTAAATCTCATGAAGTATGCATCTAATAATCTTTGAATATCAGTTTCATGTAGACTGAACTAACTTGAGGAACAAAATTTCATTCATGGACTTTTTTTGCAGAAGGCATTATTGAATTAAAATAAGTCAAATTAATGTTACAAGACAACTGTTCAAAATATGCTGAGTGCTTCCTTACATTGGCACACACGAGGAACAACAAACTTGAAAGTTCAGGGTTTCCAAATAGTATAGGTATGCTCACATTTAAATTGCTGCTTTCAATTTAAATGAAATGAATTTTAGTGAGTTCCAAATTGTATTGCATGCATTACAACTTTTCCAATGGAAAAAAAGACTAAGCAGCTTTAATAATTTTTTCTCTCTATCTCTCTCCCTCTATTTTTATTTTTAAAAAAAATAAATTAAAATTGAAGTCATGAAATGTTCATGTGAAAAAGTGAACTGACTTCACACTCTAATTACTAATCATAAATCTAAATGAACACTAACCCATTTGAACTTTAGAATTCTAGAAGCAAGAACAAAGCATAACATTCCTAGGTCTACTAATTTCAGTACGAATCATACATTCCAACGATTCCTCAATGTGTATGCTATAGGGAACTTTTTTCTCTTCAAATAATAATAGAAATTCTCGTCTGAACAGCTGATAATACCGCTTTTGCTTTCATCTGCTTCATCAACAAGTTCAGATGGGCTGTGTGTTCCACTTAGAATAATATTAACTGTCAATAATTTGTGAGATTTTATATTAGAAGCTTGAAAACTCAGAGCTATAACTGACTTTAAGCTGGGACAGATTTTTGACAGATTACACGTCTCTCAATAAACTTTTTATTCTGTACAGGAAAGAATTGTTATTATTATCCTATTTTTGAGTTAACGAGACAAAGGCACGCCAAAAGTCTTAGAAGTTTATAAAATACTTTTTCTTGAAGAGGGCATGAATGTGTCGCAGGTAATGAATTAGCAATCGCCGGCAACTAACGGGCCCCTACTGAATAAATAGAAAATCAGGAAGCTCAGATATTAAGGAACAATACTTATTAATATACTAATAATTTTGCTTCAATAGAATTCACACTTTACTTCCGTGAAAACATTGTGGTAAAAGGCACATTTAAGAGAGCGTGCAGAAAGTTCCTTGAATTTCGGACAGGCAACTAAACTAACTCCATGACAACGCGTACAGTATCACACAATTTTGAAGGCGCTTCAAGCCTGGATCGTATTTTTGTAGGTTGTTACCCATCCATCTTGAATGATACCGATGCGTATTATTACGATTTATCGTAGCAACCACTAGCGAATTGCCGGCGTATGCTAATTGTTTGCGACATACGCATAATTTGCTCCTTTTTCTTCTCTCTCTCCCTCTGAGCCTCATCCTCCTAAATCAGCAACCAAAAATAAAAATCGGGTCTCTACTAAAGAGCTCTGAATTTTCAATCCTCAGTCCACAAATATTCGTGAATAAAACTAGACCGTGTCACAGAAAATGTCCAAACTAAAAAGGACTACTTATGGAGAATTTCGCTGATAACTTTTTGAACTGAAGAGGTGCTCACCCTCTATACCATGAAAGAGAAAAATTTGAGGACTTAAAAATCATCCACGTGCGGATGTTTCTAATTAGCTGCCGAGGTGAATAGTAACAGCCAAAACCTGTGCATAAAGCCAAAACAGCCTACGCGTAAAAGCCTGTGTAAGAATTTTCATGAATTCACCTAGAGAAAGGCCACTTTTTGACCACGGTTTTCCGATGTGTATTTCCAAGTTTACACGATTCTTCCAGGCACGGAATGGGGTCTCAACGAAAAAAAATTGTGAACATTTGCACTCAAAAAAATTGATGGACTTCAGGTCAAGAGAATCAAATTACTTTCCAGATTCAAACTTCTGGATGAAATGCTGTGACACGGCCATAGTCATGGTGTAATTAGAAACACTGAAACAAGACTCCTTGCTCATTTTCAGTTAACATACCTGTGATAACAAGTCGTCCTTTCGTGGCACTTAATCGTGTTTCGCCGGTCAGTCTGTGTTTCGTTCGACATTGATATGATTTGTAACCGTCCTCAGGGCCAACATCTTTTATATGTAGCTCGCCAGAGGGTAAAACAAGGTATTTTCCATCTAAAGTAATAGAAAAAATTGAAATATTACGATTAGAATCACGTGAAAAATTCTGCTTGAGCAAGTTGGATCTCAGTATGATATCATAGATCAGAAGACTTTGATTGAGGTCTGTCTCAAAACTGAGGAACTGGCCTATGATAGGAAGAAAGATCAAACAAGCACAAACTTAAGTAATACTTAACATTAAATAGCCTAGTACGCAAATTTTGCATCTGAACTTGAGTGTAAGTTAAATCTTTTCAGTACGAATTTCTACTGGAGAACTTAGTTCATTTAGTATTCAAGATACATTTTTGATTGTGTAATTCAGTATCAAACTCTTGGTTGATTTATCTCCACTTATGTTTTTCTTTTGTCAATTAAGTACATTTATTTCGTTAAAACTTTCCTTCACTTACTTCAAAATCTAAAAGTTTATGATGGAGATCATTAAGCTTTTGATTTTACTTTCTTAATACAATTAGTATTGTGTAGTAATCGAACATTTAAGTTAAATTATGCTAAACTGAGATTCACTAGTAGCACTTGATTACCCTGGTAAAAATTGGCTGTAGAATCTGTGTTCCAAAATACCATAGACCTAAAGCCGGCTGTAAGATTTTCAATAGCTTCTATAGCCGGCTGCACAATTTCTTATAGCCTTTTATAGCCGATGGCGATTGAGCAACAGCCAGGCGATAAAGTGTAAGCTAAATTTTACTTATTACGGATGCTAGGACTGTTTTTGGATTACCGCTCTATTTTTGGGCCGTAGTATCTTGATTTATTTTGCGCGGAAAGCTCCGTACTTTTGAAGGATGTCTGCCATTCCTAATATGTTGGAGCGCCTTCAATTTCGTATGATACTGTGCAATACCTCTGGTGTGAAATCGTTGCTTCAAGCGCCGTGGCACGCTGCGGCGCGACGGGCGGGCAGCCAGCGCGAAAAGCGCCTTAGCGCCTACAAACCTAACAGGGATACTTCACGCATTGCGCCATGCGTGAAGTATCCCTGTTAGGTTTGTAGGCGCCAGTGCGTCGCCGCTCCGCTTTGTGTTAGGCTCTAATATTTAATCTCGCGGAGTCAGCGTTTTTCAACTCATGATTTTGAAATGTTTGCACATCCTGTATGGATTATTCTCATTTTAATTGATGAAAAAAAAATATGTATTAAAGGCAAATATAATGTGTCTTTTGTGAATATTATGGTGGTTCCGTATCAAACTTGATGATTTCCAAAGCACACGAATTTCTACACAATTTCTTATAGCCTTTTATAGCTGATGGCGATAAAGTGTAAAGCCCAGCGATAGGAACTATAGCCCGGCTGCATACTTTTTTATCGCTTCGTAGAGCTCGGCTATATGATTTGCTCCGCTTTCTACAGCCAGCTATATGACTTTCTATTGCCTTCTTTAGCCGGCTATAAGAATTCCTGTGGTATTTTGAAACGCAGCTCCTATCGCCAATTTTTACCAGGGTATAAAAGGAGGTTCATCATTATGGATAGGTTTCGATCAACGTTTAGATTTCTTCATTCGCTTCAATTTGAAGGAAAATTTAGCTACAGTCTTTAAGACACAGAAATCGGCATGACACATTCGGTTAGTCGCAAAATCTATTACATTCTTGGTTCTATAAAACGATTAATGACTGTTTCGACTGTTGGCAATAAGATAAGCTCAGCATCAGAAAAAATGGAATAGACTTCGTCACTTTCCGAATGTACCGCACTGACTTTTGCGTCTAGAAAGATGTTGCGATGCTACGAGAAACAAAAACTGAGCGTTTTTTTCTATGAATCAGAGAATTATTTAATTTTCTCGTCTCAAAATGATTACTGAACTTTAAAGCGGAAAATTGTGAGATAATTCAGGATTGATGAAATAGTCTTACTAATGACTTACAAACTAAACTTAAAACTAGAGAGGACCATTCATTCATACTCACACATACAAAAACAAATAGAGGTGAGGAAATTGGAAGAAAGAGTAAGAAATAGGGGAGGAAACGGGAGAGGTAAGGGATTCCCTACGCTGGAGTGTGCCGATATCTTGAAAGTTTTAATAATTTACATGGGAATATTAATCCGAGTACCTTAAAAATTAGATGAAAAGTTAACCTGCAAAGTATCAATTTCGTGCGGATTATTAAGTACATACAGGAATTAACAGTAAAGATTAACGCGTCGAAGAACGTAGTAGATTCACTTGTGAATACAAATAACGTTTTTATGTTAGTAAATTATTATCATTTACATCATACCTATTGGGCGAAAAAAGTTTCGTAAAACTGAGGTGATGGTGCTCTTGATGAAGAAGTTGGTGAGGAATTATTTCGGAAGAGGAAATTTCAGAAAACAGAGGCACGACGAATTCTTGATTGATGGGAACTTCAATCTACGATTTTCCTATACGTTTCGTTGAAAAACGTGGCTCATTGTAATAATTGTACACATTCTACTATTTATTTTTTCATGTGAAAATGAAAAAAACAGAACATTTTACGTGCCTTTAAGTTAATTTTTCTGAACGTTTTTTCCTCTGTGTCTCCTTAAAAATTCATTTTCCAACTGAGTGTGGTCTCTGAATAATCTTTACTGATGAGACAACTTTCAAAGTAAAACTTTTCACCCCGTACTCAGACTTCGCTTTCAATTTTCGAGCTTAAAAGCTCTAAAAGTTAACGAATTAAGGAGTTAATTTGTGCTGTCTCCCTTTTCTTGAAATGTTATACCACATGCATTTGGTGCATTCATAAAAATAAAGAGGCCGTAAGGACGGAAATTTACCGTAATCCTTGATGACGGGATCATATTTATTGCCATCCGTGTCCTCCCACCCGACTATTTCCAGGTGGTCCGACACAAAAGACGGTAAATTACATTTAAATATGGCCGAGTTTCCTCTTATCACGAAAAGGTCGTACACCTGCGCCTCATAGTACTGGTTCACCACTGAAACACCATTTTTAAAATTCGTTTTACAAAATCTTCAAGCTTCAACTAGTCGGTAGGTATGTCCTACGAATGGCAGGAAACATCATGTGAGTGTAGCAAGGGTCTCCTAGCAAATAAAAGTGTGAGCATTAAATATTTTGGGGGTACCAGAGTGGAAGAAAACGTGATTCGAAAATTCGCAGCGGAAGAGTTGGAGGTGCCCCTATGTCAGCGATGCCTCTATTTTTCCTCCTTGATCCTCATTACCAACACAAAGATCGACTACGCGTGGGGCTGGGGATGTTGTTAACATCCGCGGACATCAAACAGTACGAATTCTGGGGGTGGGGGGGGAGGGTTGAGGGCACAGAAAGGCACTTCATCGATAGGGTCCGCGGGATCTCCCTGAGAGGATGCTGAACATCGAGACGTCTCAGGAGCAATTTTGACCTATTCAACCGAAAATTTCATCATAATCAAGTTTTAAAAGTGATAAAGGTCCCACTCAATTATTACTTAGAATCTGTTCACATTTCCTGAGAAGGGACCACGTAGAATTAGGAGGAGGAGGCCCCCCCCCCTTTCACCTCCCGTTGGTTCCGCCCATGATGACCGAGGATAAAAAATCCCGCTTGAAACGTTCAGAATGTCTACTAGAATTTCATTTTCACAGATTTTGCCTGATATGCGTGTTCTAAATGAAATTTCTTGATTTTTTGCGCGAAGAATTGACACCCGTTTGATTTAACGAATCAACATATATAATGAATTGAATCAAATTTTTGAAAAATGCTTGAGGCACTAAGAATGTTTTGATCAAGGACCGACTTCCCTGATGATATTGATTTTCCTTATTTTTTTCTGGATTTGGCCAATAATAGACACCAGACACCCTGCATAAAATCCGAACTTAACATAGCCCGAACAAGTATAAATTACGGTTACTGTCTATTGCACTGTTTCGGTTCGTAACGCTACTTATGTTTTCCTTGACTCTGCGCAAAACCGGACAAAGGTCTTGGATCCAAAAAAAAATAAAATGAGCCGGAAAACTGTTCGTTCAAGCGTGGGTCCTACAGGGTGAGGACAGGGAGAGGGGTGACGGGGAAAACTCGTAGACAAGCCGGGGACGACGCGAATTTCGGGAGGTTTACCGTAGTTATTGACGTCGTTGGCCATATCGATGGGGAAGGACTGATTCTCGTCGGTGATCCATTCGACGACTTGGACGAAGTCGGCCACGAAGCTCGGGATCATGCATTTGATTACGGCCGTGTTGCCTCGCAGCACGAACTCGTCGATGACCCGAGTTTGGTAGAACTGGTGCACCACTGAGAACAGACCGAAAATTTCCTATAGTACTAGCTAGAAATTATTCCAGGGTGTCTAAAACAATTTTCAAGAATAACATTCCTTGACTTAAAATTGTACCTACAAGAAATTTGGAAAACGCTAATTTCGCGACTTCCATAATCAGAGAATGAGATCGCGACGGAAGAAGGCCGAGTTATTTTTTTTTAGAACCGAAAGTCACTTATTGATAGTCGTGGAACGCAATGCTGTCATGACTTTTTATAGGAGCGTCCATTGGAGATCGACGGAAAACATGCAGGCCGCGGGGATTGGGGGAAAGAGGTAGCAGAAGATACAGGAAAGAAAACAATTAAACAAACACGGGGTGATTTTTGAAACTTGGTTAATCGCGCTTGATCGATGAATGGATTTATTACGAACTGAATATTCGGCGTACGAATTGGAATTCCGTTGGATTGGTGAATAGGGCCACAAAAAATAAATAAATAAAATAAAAAAATAAAAATAAACAAACATTCGCGCACTCTCTCAGTAAAAGAGGGGAAGGAGTGCTAAGTTTATACCGTAGTCGTCTTTATTGGGAAAATAGTGGCCACCCTCTGAGTCTAGCCACTCGACCACATGGACGAAATCCGCCACGAAACTTGGAACCTCGCATTTCATGACGACAGAATTGCCCCTGATGACGTACTCGTTGTCCGCTTCCGCCTCGTACGGCTGCGCGACAACTGGACAGACCAATTGAAAACTAATTATGATACGTTGAAAAATTAGGGTTGTGAAAATTTGACACAAAAAAGAAAATGTCTTCCTGTCGGCATTTCAGAGTTCAAGAAATGTCTAGAGTCCCTCCGGAGAGAATGTAGACAGACATCATACGAAAACTCTCATTCAGGAAATGAAAGTTGGCCACGGAAAATAATGAGTAAACATTTTTATCACCTCTGCATGTACTATATGTAAGTAAAATAAAACAAGTATGAGCATCAAGGTTCCTTTATTCGTCCTTATTATATTACCAACTCTGCCGTGCTGAGGAAGAATGCCGTATGAGCATTTGAAAGTTGCCGAATTTCCTTTGATAAAACGATCATTTTTGAGGAATGTTACGAATATTTTTCCTTGAAATTTTCATGAGCTTCAGGTGAAATTGCGAACAAAGTTATCAGAAACATTTGAAGGAAAATATTCACAAGTTTACCACGAAATTTCGTGTTTTATTCAATGAAATTTGGCAACGCCTAAAGGTTCATACGCCGTTTCTCCTTAGCAAGGTAGTTCTCACGATGTTGCAATATGTCAAAATATTTAAAATGAGAGACGTTCGGCACAGTTTTTCAACTCATGCCTCATATCAACGACTAGTCCGTCACCGGTGTCCACTATCTTTCTCTTGCGTCGAGAAACTCTGCAGAGGAAGAAAGAACTGGGAGGAGAATAGAGAGGGAAGAAGGAAGTACTCAGCCGGTCGACTGTAAGATGTCTAATAAGAGCGTGCTGAAGTGAAAACTTAATGTGTCACCTGCACGTATTAAGGTCCACGAAATATTCAGTCTTAGAATCTATCAGTGTGTAAGACTAAGGGTTCGTGGAATCGGAGATCTTACAATCGACTCTTAGCTAAAAGCTCAAGGATCGACACCTGAGACAATATATTTTAGAGACCCCGTACTAACAATCTAAAGCAATGCGATCAGGTGAGGCAAAAGTTAAGCTCGGAAGTCAACGTGATTTTTCGCGTAATGATGATTGGCTGAGCATAAAATACGCTAAAAGATGACTGATGAGTGTCGGCTGGACGAATTTTTTAAAAATACTTCGAGTCCCCCACACCAACTACTCAACTCTTCGGCCACCAATCATCATTAGGCAATTCTGAGGGTTAACTTCTGAGAGTAACTTTTACATTATGGGGAGGATACCAACGCGGAGTCTCTAAATTATGAACGGGCCAGTTGCGCTGGTCACAGAGTCGTGTTTTGATGCTTGATTCTTGCAGATTATATCTAAAAATAATAAGATCTGTACAAACAGCAACGCTCCATGTTTAATATTAACCGAGATATCGGACTCTGAAAAATTCGGTTTGTGACTTCATCCACCGCAGTAGCGACACCCTTGGTTTCATCCGCCTTGCTTTCATTTTGAGTTTTACGTTGAGTAACCTGTGCAAATGTGTGTATCACCGGTCCATGAATCTAAGGTGAAAGAGATCATAGTATGCATAACCGCGGTGGATGGCGTTATAGACAGAAGTTTTCAAAGCGCGAGATCTCGGTTAATAATAAAAGTAAAAAGTTGCTATTTGGACGGATCTGATTATTTTTAGCCAGTCCACAAGAATCAAGCATCAGAACACGATTCTGTGACCAGCGCGACTCATAGTCTCTGCACGACACAATCAGCAAACGCACACACGCAGCCCGAAGCGGGATCTGAAGGGACTTTATTTTGGGATGGACGGTACCGAAATCGTTGGACGTGGACAAGTAAGTGAGGGTTTGGTCCTCGTCTACGATCCAGGCCTCGACGTAGACGAAATCGACGACGAAACTAGGGATTTTGCACTTCATGACGGCGCTGTTCCCCCGGATCACGTACTCGTTCTCCGCTTCCGTCAAGTAGTTTTGCGAAACCACTGCCAATTCAAAGAGAGTGGTTAGATATTTGTTCCGGAATCGTATACTTTGGCTCAGCAAAGAGAGAACGACGTCCTTGAATTACGTAAGGCTGTCCCAAATTTTGGAGAGTAAAGTCTTACGATGAATGGTACCATGAAGAACTGCGAGCCGATTGCTGAAATTGGTAGACAAAGTGATAGACAAAGAATACAAAAAGGATGTGGAGGGATCCTATTGGTGGAGGCGGGTGGTTGCAATAGATAAAGAAAGTAGGTAATAGACTAACTAACGGCAGCCCACGAGAGACTCGAAAATTTGTCCCTCATTTCCTCCCTTAGTCTATGAGAATCACCCATTTCAACCAATAAAATTGCTCCATACTCGCTATGTCTTCTTTGTCTATAGCTTCGTCTATCAATTTCAACAATCAGCCCGCAGAACAGAGACATCTCACAACGGAAGGAAGGTCAATTATAAAAACAGATTGACGAGTGATCTTAAATAGAATATCGACGGTGAAACTACCAAACCACGTATCTCGTTTGCGGTGTTTAAAAATCTACGCTCACATTTTATTTTTTTGAAGTAGACCAAATAAATATCATTCCTTGAAATTTTCACAGAATTTTCTCCGCACGAAGAGAAAAAATCACAGAAATTCTCAAGACTGGACGTTAAGTAGTTTTTCATTTAAAAAATAAAGTATGACAGGAAGTCTGCGACGTCGCAAACCGAGATACGTGGTTTGGTAGTTTCACCGTCGGTATGTGAGTCTGGAGTTCAGTTTGATGAACTGTAGATAGATGCAGAAATTTTGGCGTCGACTTTTCTCTAGTTACAAAGTTTTTTTCCGAGCCACGTCTGCTAAGTATTTTCTTTCATTTAAAGTCTCATTCTTCAGGACTATACGTGCGCTTGGGGGAATTTGTTCCTCTGTTTTTAAGACAGAGCCATGTCTGAATCTTACTTTACACTAGTCACTTGTTTGTTGAGTCGGGTCCGAAAGATTATCTTTCTGCGATTTTCTAAAAGCCTTACGTAATTCTTGGACATTGCTCGGAAAAGTAACAAACACAAAATGAAATGAGAAAAAATAAAATTAACTAAATTTACAAAAATGATTGGTTCGAGGAAATGCGCATATTTATATTTGTTGCGATATAGAATACTCGGATGCGTGATAGAAGCTGGAAAAAAGGATAGCTTAAATGATTTATAAAATTGAGTTTTGTCGACCTCCGGTAGCTGAGTCGCGACGGCGATGCCACATGGACCAAAACTTTCGCACAACTACTACACTCCGCGCGGCTGTATGGGAGGTGCTAATAGTAATAACACCGTATGCCCGCAAACTTTTGGAGAGAAAAATTTTCGAAGGTTTTTGAGAGGGAGTCTCAAAACTTACATAGAACACCGGAGACCCCCCCCCCCCAAAAAAAAAAAAAAAAAATAATAAAATAAAATAAAAATAAAAATAAAAAATTCATAAAGAAGAATTTAAGAAATGAGAGACGTGGGAAAAGGAAAAATAAATAAACATTGGAACTTGAGATTCTGAATGCAAATCCAATTAGGGAATCCTGAGAATGTTCCATTTATTATTCTGATGACTTCATCGGGATGAGCTAGGATCTAGGTTACCGGGAGGGGAATTAATCGACATAGAAAGGATGAATTTTTAATTGACCCAATTTGTACACGCAAACAGATCTTCCCTACAGACATACATCGACACCGTACACTGTCCTCAACACTGTAGGGACGTTAGGCGATAACGATCGCTTTGAAATGTTTCGCCGATTTCAACCTGACACAGAAAAACTAAAAGCATGCGTTTTCTTCTCTATCTAAATTAATTAAGTTCCTTGTGACTAAAGTACAGGCGATGAACGATTAACAGTGCATATTACAAAATTTTCAGATTGATGGTTATTTTATCCTATTTTTCCAATAGTCCTTCATTTACCCTCTTTACCACAAGTGAAAATTAATTATAGATGCATGATCTCTTCCGGGCTTTTTGGCACTTTTGTATCAGGACCGAAAAAGTGGAAACATTGTTAGGAAAACGTTTTGCTCTGAAATTGTGTTTTTTTCGGAGGAGGTCTATCCTGAGCTCCACCTTCTTCGCAGCACTTTTGCGAGTAAATCATTTCATAAAAATATGAGTAGTGCAAATTATCAATGGAGAGATACGTAACATTAAAACATTGATGCTTTTCCATTTGGTTTGTCATTTGATCGACATCGAAAATTTCAAGCCATTTCTGTGAGGGCGCATTTCCTAGCTTTTCGCATTGTACGTTATACGCTATTTCCACTTAAAATTCTGAACTCGATGCAATGCTGTAGTTAAAATCGGCGTTCCTACCGAGCAGACTAAGGGTAATTTCACG